GCACATTTTCAGGAAGAGGGCCCCTCTGTATTTTATAGATTAACATAAATGTGGAAAAGAAGAAACTTCTGTTCAAATTATTGTTGTTATTATTATAAAACAAATAGACAAGATGGCTATGTGAGAATGATCAGTAACAACACTCAATCAGCCTTTACACCTTCTAGATAATGTTACAATCACTGTTCTAAAAATCGGCCTAGGCCGCGCCTAGGCGCTAGGCGGTGCCCGGGCGCCTTCGATTTGCACAAATCGGCAGAAAAAATCGGTCAGGCAACTAGGCGGCGCCTAAGTGGGCCTAGGCGGCCTTGGCGGACCTAGGCGCTTCTAGGCGGGTTCGGCGGCAATTTTTAATTTTTTTAAATATTAATACATTATTTTGTTCTCGTGTTTTCTTTAAAACATATTAATTTGATTATTTAGACTTAGGTGTGTCGATTTATTATAAGTTGAGATAATTTTATTTTGTATGTAGTTAAAATAAATAAAAAATAAGGTATATTTAATATTGATTTCTAGGCCCCGACTAGGCGCCGCCTAGGCCCCACCTAGGCGCTGGTCGAGCGCCTAACGACTTTTAGAACACTGGTTACAATTGCCCAAGAAGTTTTTCATTATCTCAATAGGCATAGAACTGACCTAAACATATACATGGCTCTGGAGCTTGACATGTCAAAAGCCTTAGACAGAATTGAATGGGCTAGCATTAAAAGGATTATGGAAAAAAGGGGATTCAATGTGATCTTTATCAATTGGGTGATGAATTGTGTTCAGTCTATTTCATTCTCTTTGAAATTAAATGGGCATCCAGCTGGTTATGTTGTCCCTACTAGAGGAATAAGATAAGTGGACCCAATATCCCCTCATTTATTCCTCTTGGTATCTGAGTGCTTATCTTGCTTAATACAACATGAAATCGCCCATGGCTCATTCAAATGACTGAAACTCTCAAGACAAGGGCCCACCCTCAGTCACTTATTTTTTGCAAATGACCTACTTATCTTTTGCAAAGCTTCTACAAACTCTGCTAATCTCATTCTGGCCATTCTAGAGAAATACAAATGCTTTACAAGTCAGCAGGTTAATTTGTTTAAGTCTTCAGTGTTTTTTTAGCAAAAATACACCACCAGCTGTCCAAAGGGATCTCTACCAGGCTCTCCAAGGAATCACTCTGCACCACTTTTCCAGATACCTTGGCTTGCCACTTGGCATAGGAAGATCAAAAGGTGAAGCCTTCAATTATGTGACTGAAGTTGTCAAGAACAGATTGTTGAGCTGGAAGAACAAATTTCTCTAAGGAGCTGGCAAGGAAGTTCTCATCAAGATTGTCCTTAGTGCCCTCCCAGTTTTCTCAATGTCATGTTTTCTACTGCCTTGGGAATCTGCAAAGAACTAGCAAAACTCTTTGCTCATTTCTGGTGGTCTTTCTTAGAACAAGGTTAACTCTGGTATCCACTGGAAAGCTTGGACATTACTGACACTACCCAAAGCTGATGGAGGCTTGAATTTCCAAGATCTCCATGTTTTCAATGAAGCCCTTATCATGAAACAAATCTGGAGACTGATCATTAAACCATATCTGTTAATGAGAAAAGTACTCAAGAGCGGATACTCATCCATCTGGTGACTTTTTTTGGAGCAAAACCTACTCAAAATGCCTCCCGGCTATGGAGGAATTGTCGTAAAATGCACAAATCCTTCCTAAAAGGCTTCTTGATGCAGGTCAGGAATGGCAAGCAAACAAGAATTTTTGAACATCCATGGGTCCCCAACCTCACTGCACATAAATTGTTGGCCAGAACACCAAATTCCCCCATAGGTTTCTGAGCTCATTGCAGAAGATGGTATCTCATGGAATAGAGAGCTTATCAACAGGTGTTTTACACCCTCTGAAAGTGAGGCCATTTTCCACATTAAAACCTAGAATGCACACCTCTCTGACAAACCAGTCTGGTCCTTTGATGCAAAGCAAAAATTTTCAGTGGCTGCTACATATGCTCAATTAATCTCTGACAAAATTCTCAAGCTTGATTTACCAATAGTTCCATGGATGCTAATTGGAAGAAGATGAGAACCAGAAGTTGAATATAGAATTAAAGGCAAAGTTAAACATTTCATTTGGAAATGTTTCACAGATGTCCTCCATGTTGCTGTTAACTTAAACAAAAGAGGCCTCCTACTGGACACTACCTGCATGATTTATGGTGAAGCACCTGATACAATAATTGATGTCCTTTTTCAATGCCCAAGATCTGAGAAAGTTTGGAAACTCTCTCCTGTCAAATGGGATGGCCCTTCTCACTTTGATGGTCACTTCAAGCACTGGTGGACTACTCTTTGTCTGATTAAAAAAGATAAAGTTGTGGATGATAGAGTGCAACTCTCTGCATATATCCTGTTGCAATTGTGGAAAACACGCAATATTTGGGTCTTCCAACAGATCATGACCTCAGAACATATCATTGTGGACATTGCTGTTAAAGAATGGCTGGAGTATGACTCTACCCTTTCCCCTCGGTAGCTATTTCTTGCTATGTTTGTCTTAGATTAGTTTTGCTCTGTTTTTCTCTTTTTTGATTTCCCTATTTATGTTTACCTAGCTAGGCCTAGACAGTGGCTAGTTTCTTCAGTGTGTTTCAGTTGTGTCTCTATATGTAGCAAGTAATAGTCTTCCGCTGTATTTTGCGGCTGTTACTTTGTAGTTGTTTGATGTAATTTTATTGGTTTTTCTAGGCAGCTTTTAGCTAGTCTCTGATCCTTTCTGGATTGTGGTCCGTTGTGATCCCGTGTACAAACATAGCTATCTATGAGATTACTTATTATCATTTCGAAAAAAAAAAAAAAAGATAATGATCACTAGTATTAAGTATGAGATAAGGAGAATATCAAATTGTTTTGAAAATAAAACTTAAATAATTTTGAACTGAAAGTTAATCAAATTGTATAATATTTTCGAATTACACTAACCAAAAAATTAAAGGTACGATTTTGGATATTTATAGAGAATTGATGCGGAAAATATATACGAATCGTTCTATTTCGTATCTCACAGAATAACAAAACTATAAATTTAAATGTGTTTTGCCATTTGACTTTATGTCAATTTTACTCCTAAATTGCTTTCATCATTTCATAACTTTAAATTACGTCTAATAATAGAAATTAAATTCCATCTTAATATAGTATTTTCAGAAGTTATGTTACATTTTTTACTTTAATAATATCAAAGATACAGAAATATTGATATTGAAAAAGCAATTATCAATATTTCCTTATAACTAAATATTAATTTAAAGAATGATTCTTTATTCTAACTTTTTTACCCTATGACAACTTTCATTTAACTCAAATATATGAGTATAGACGAGAACCCAAATAGTTATAAAGAAGACTATTCCCAAAAACACAAAAAAGTAGACAGGACCAAAAGAGAGAGAAAAATATGTACTCCCACTCGACAACCATCTTGGCTAAACTCAAACTCCTAGAACGCACAACCAAATCAAAAGAAAAGAGTAATTCAAACGAGTCTTAGCTAACAGATAAATGTCATCAACAATTGGTCTAATATTGATACCAAATAATGAATTTCTAATCATCATTTGAGCAATCCATTTAGCAATCCCTTTACCAGTGATGAAGCAGTTGAAGGAGTGCTACCCCAGTTTCAATGCATTATTAGCCCCCACCTCACAACACGAAGGATTATCCAAAGTCGATGACCAGTTGTGTATGACTTTCTCCTCCACCTTAGCAACGCCTCCCAGACCAACTCGCCCTCAGTAGAAATGTGAACACTAACAACAATGAAAGGTTGCCCTACCTTCTTGGGAAACTTTTCTACTCGAGTTTGATTGGAAACCTGAACACCAACATTTTCCACAAAGTTGTCCACATCAACAACTAAGGACTCTTGCCATTCCTCTATTGCTCCATCCATTAAACCTTTCTCATGTATACATTCCTCTCCTTAACACCCAAGTGTATCTTGATCTCCATACCCACCAAAGTATGCAGGTAGAGAGACAAATTCTATCTTCAATACATGTGACATCCTCAAAATTAAAAATTCCATCCCACCACCTCTGAAAAGTAATCCTTTTATCCTCCAGCAGAATCCACGTTATGCCACTCAATTTTCAGCAAGTAATAGCTCTTAGAACAATTGAGCAATATATGAACAATATCTTTTTCTTCTTCACCAAAGAAATTAAAAACAAATTCCACACTTACTCATGTCTTCTAAAGTTTAGACATATATTAATAAACATTTATTATTTATTTTTTTCTTATGTGATATAATCGAAATTTGAAATTTTAAATTTTAGATTCAAACATTTAAATAAAAAGATCCTAAGCAACTTTTTTTTGGGTTCATTTTGTCTTAACTTTCATATAATCACATTCCTAACAAACTAATTAATACAAATACAATTATATAACTGGAATTTTTAAATATAATTAATATAATATTTTAACTAATTAATCTTTTGTCTAACCGAATTTATCTTATTAACAAACTTGCCAAGATTTTTGAAATTAAAATAGTAAGATTATTCTTACGGGTATACTTACCATAATATTAAACACTTTAAAAACTTTTTGAAAACAAATTTGAATTATTCCGTCTTCTACTCTATTTGAAATTCAAAATTAAATTTTTAACATATTCATAAATATTATTTTTTTTTTCCTTACGTGATATAATGTAAAATTGGTTATAGATTTTCAAATTCAAACATCTAAAGGAAAAGACCACGAACAAATTTTTTGGTTACATTTCATTTTATCTTAACTTCCATTTAATCACAATCCTAACAAACTAATTAGCATAATATTTTTTTACCCACATATTATAATCGGATTTCTTAAAATATAATTAATATAATAGTTTAACTATTTAATCATTTGTATAACTTGATTTAACTCGTTAACAAACTTGCCAAATTTTTTTGAAATAAAAAAAAAAATTGATGATTTTTATTTGTAAAATAATAAAAAAATAGCTTTACTTTAAAGTCTGGATTATTTCCATTAT